AGGGGGAGATGAGGGTCTTCACAGCCTCGTTTCCCTTCCCATCCTCTGCAATACTCCAAACCGTTACCTGGAGCACGGTCCCCTCCGCAGACAGCTGCATGCCCAGCTTCGGTGTGAGCAAGTTCCCGTCCTTCAGCCAGCGGGAGCCCTGAGGGGGCACTCCAGGGACCAGGCACTCCAGGGTCACCGACTGGTTGACGATGACAGAGATGTTCTCCTCCTTGCCCATACTGGTGGGGGACACTGGAAAACAGATCGACAGGGCAACATCTTCCCGGAGCCACCTCCTTCGCTATCCCTCCCCAGAGCCAGTCGCCCACAGCCCCGGGCACTCGCAAGGGGATAGTGGAGCAGCCCCATAGTCCTGAGCATCACCTCCAACCCCACAGCCACACTGGTGGGAAGGGGCCAGGGATGCACAGGGGTACTTACGCTGCACCTCAAGGGTGGCATCACGCCTGTCCTCCCCCACGGCACTGCTGGCTACACACGTGTATGTCCCCGAGTCCTGGAGGCGAGCGGTGGGTAGGGACAGGATGCGCCCGCCGGAGAGGATCTGTGCTTCCCCGAGACACAGAAAGAGATCAGATGAAGAGCAAACCAGAGAAACTCACAGGCAGCTGGGCTGCAAGCTGTCACGCAGGAACAGGGATGGATGGGCATGAGCCTGTCCTCGTCACGTCTCGGGGACCCTCTACCCATCCATGTCCCTCGTGGCTGGAAAGCCCAGCGCGGGGCTGAGCAGGTCCCTGCTCCCATGGACCAAACGTGGGGTAGGTCTGGGCAGCATTGCACCTGCTCAGCTCCAGCAATTGGTTTTTCAAAAGCCAGAACAAGGACAGTGAGCACCTTCCCGGAGGGACACCCCCAGAGAGCACCCCCGCTCCATCAGGAGCTGTCTCACCTGCGGGCTACTCGCTGCCACGCTGGGCACCGGCTTGCCATCCTTCAGCCACAGCAGCACCGGCGCTGGGGTCCCCGTGGCATTGCACTCCAGCGTCACTGGCTCATTCACCACCACCGTGAGGGGGCTGGGGCCAGCTGTGATCTGTGGGGGCACTGGTGGGGGACAAAGAAATGTCACCAGGAGCAGCACAGTGCAAGAGGGACAGGGTGGGTAGGAGACACCATGGTGTGGACCAGGCAATACCCATCCATGGGGCCATAGTTTTCCAAGACATTATGTGGGATGGACACAGGCGATTGCATGGCTGGAATTGCAAAATGGGGCAGAGGACAGGGGCTCTGCTAAAGCCAACTTCCAGGGACGTGTCCCGAGAGCTGGGACAGCCCCGTTGGTCCCGTGCACACATGAGAGGTACCGGGCAGAGAAGCACCCAGCTCTCAGGCAGCCACAGTCCTTCCCGGCTCACCGTGGACTCACCAGTCACCCGCAGGCTGTCGGCGACCCCGGCCCCGTTGGAGGCCATGCAGCGGTAGCTGCCAGCATCAGAGCGCCGGGCACGCTGGATCTCCAGGTGCTTCCCATCCCTGGACAGGGTCCAGCCTGGTCTGGCCAAGAGCTGCTCATGCCCCTTGTACCAGGTGATGTCTGGAAGGAAGCAGGGAACCAAGCTGCAAGGAGCGATGCTGCTGCCCCTCTCACCAAGGGGACCCAGGGAAAGCCCCAAGGACACACGAGCAACAGCCGAGGCAGAGGACCTACTCACCGGGAGCAGGCAGCCCCGAGGCCAGACACTCCAGGGACACTGTGCCATTCTCCAGGATGGCCAGGTCTGCCACGCTGGGTTCGATATTCGGAGGCACTGCAACCCAGCACACACAGTCATTGGCTCTGGGCAGCCCCAGCTAGCTGCAGCCACACAGCCCAGTGCCGTGGGGCACGGCCGGGCTCACCGGGGGGCTCTCGGACTGGCCCG